CGGGATCGGGCAGTGTTTCGTTCTGCTGTGCGTGGGGTTGCTATGAGTCAGAAACGACTCGACGGCACTTAACAACAACGATTAGCTTAATATGTGTGGCTTTTAAAGATAATTTTTATTTTCAGAGATGGGTGTTATGCCTGAGATCGCACAAGCTGTGGAAGAGATGGATTGGCTGTAAGTACCTGAATTTTAAATATACCTGTACCAGCTGTGTTTTATATTAAAATAGTTGTTAATATTAACAAGTATTTTTGTATCTAGTTAACCTATTAAGATGGATAAATAAAATTTATCTTTCCTTGTTGTTTTCTAAATTATGGAATGTTTGCTTTTTAAAGATTGATGTATTTCTAGCTGAGAAAGATTGCTTGTATTTACCAAATAAAATTTTTATTTCAGCTGTTTAAGGAGGCCCTGAGTGGTACAAATTATTAATTGCTGTATTACTAACCAAATGGTTAGTGATTAAAACCCATCTAGAGGCACATTGGAAGTAAATCCTGATAATCTGCTTCTGAAAGGTCACAGCCTTAAAAACTCCCTGGAGTGCAGTTCTACTCTGCATACTTGGGGTCTCCATGAATTGGAATCAACTTGATGGTGACTAACAACCACAGGCTTATTGTTTAACATGACTGAATTAGCTTATATGACTTAATTTAAACTATGTGTTTTTTACTAACTAAAATTATTCAAAATACGTTTCTTTTAGTCTCCCAACTGATATCCAGGCTGAATCTATCCCATTGATTCTTGGAGGAGGTGATGTACTTATGGTATGTTGAATTTGGTGAGATGGTTGGAGCTGGGAACATGATTTTGGGGCTGTCTGTGACCTACTTTAAGAACTCCATACTCACTTACTGTCGTTGAGTCGATCTGGACTCATAGTGACCCCTGCTTGGGTTTCTGAGGCAGGATCTTTATGGAAGTAGATTGCCTTGTCTTCCTTCCAAAGAGTGGCTGGTGAGTTTGAACTGCCAGCTTTCTGGTTAGCAGTCAAATGCCTTAAAACCAAAAATGATATTTTCACTAAATTCATTGTATTTATTCACAAGCATTCATGTTATAAATACACTGCATTTAAGGTACTCAGAAGGAGCTATGGGGAATACAGAGGTGAGTAAGATGTAATCTTTGTCCAATAGAAGCTAAAACCCAATGGGGCAGTTTGATGTGTACAAAACTAAGTGCCATATAAGAAAATGTGATACCTGCAAAAGATATTCAAAGTACTATAGGATTGAACTAGAGGGGTTCAGTCCAATTATCTTTCTACTTAAAAGAGCACAAGGAACTCTGTCTAGATGAAGTATAATTTTGACAAGGGAAGTTGAAAGAGAAGTGCTCTCTAGGTAGCGAGAGCATCAACCAAAATAGGGAATGAGAGAATGTAGGATATGATCCAAGAGTAACTCAGTATGATTGTAGCATAAAATATGTGTGTTTGGGGGTGAAATGTAACTTGAGATAAGAGGGAAGTGTACTGGCACGTATTCAGTATCAGATTATTTAACAAGCAAGATAAGCATGGGTTTACTCACAAGTAAGTAAGTTTTTCACCATACCAAATATCCTGCTTATAGGTATGGCTGGCACCTGTCTCTCCCCAATCTCACAGCACTTTCCTACAGAAGCAAAGCCTCTTTTCAAATTTATAATCCCTGAAAGGGACTGAGTACCCAGTAAGAAGGTAAACACAGCTTACTTGTACTTACTTATCTATAGTGAACAAATTCACATGTGAAACTTCACTACAGATTAGTAAGTAAGCACAAGTAAGCCCATATTTACCTTGTTTATTGGATAATCTAACCCTTGAAGTACAAATTGAGTCAGATTAATTTGGACTCTTTCTTGAGTGTCATATTAAAGAATTTGGTATTTGTTGGCCATGGGGAGCATTGAGGGAGCTCTGGTGGCATAGTGGGTAGGGCATTTGGTTAGTAACCAGGAAGGTTGGCAATTCAAACCCAACAGCTGCTCTGTGGAAGGAAGATAAGGCAATCCACTTCTGTAAAGATTTACCTTGGAAAACCAAAGGTGGTTGCTATGAGTCGGAATCAACTCTATGGCAGTGGATTTGGTTTTAGTTTTCAGGGAACATTGGGAGTTTTTTTTTTTTTTTTTAAATTGTCACTTGGGTGAAAGTTTACAGAGTAAATTCATTTTCTATACAGCAGTCATATACATTTTGTTTCATGACTTTGCTTGCAATCCCATAATGTTATAGCTCTCTTCCCATTTCTTCCCTGTGGTTACCTTTTCCCTATGTCCTTCTTTCCTGTGCACTCGTGCACTCTGAGCTATCACTCTGTGTAAATATGGCCCTTCTGATGTCCCATGATTGATTGTTCTAAGGAGTGTACCTACCTGGTGTAAATGTTCACCTTATATGCCTGTCTGTTTGGCTGGAAGCCATGGGGAGTGAGTTCAGTTCCAAGCCCAAAGAGTGACTGGGGGCTATAGTCTTGGGAGTTTATAATCTCTGTCAGACCAGAAGCCTAGTCTTTTTTATGATTTTTAGTTTTGTCCACATTGTTCTCCTACCCAATCCAGGATCACCTGCACTGATCCATTTCTGAGTGGTTAACAGTGGTAGCCAGGCACCATCTACTTCTTCTGGTCTCATGGTCATATAGGCTGAGGTTCATATGGTCCACTAGTCCCTTGGACTAATGTTTCCATGCATCGTTGGTTTTCTTCACTCTTCTTTTCTATGGATGAGGAGAGACCAATTATTGCGTCTGGATGGCTTCTTGTAAGCTTTTAAGACCCCAGTTGCTACTCACCAAGGTGGAATGTAGAACAATGTTTTTGTGTAGTATGTAATGCCAGTTGAGCTTGATGTCCCCTGCAACCATGGTCCCAAGCCCAGAGGCCCAACAACTCACTCCCTCAAGATGGTTATAAGAAGTTATAACTTTGCTTCATTAGTTTTATTTATATGGACATTCTTACAGCACATACAAATATGTGGGTAGAAATGTTATCTGCCAAACTTATATGTGGTCATGAGTATATTCCCTTTATCCTAGGCATGCCTGATCTTTCAACCTGCTATTAATGTAGCTACTTGTAGGTTAACGTTTATTATTACTGATAATGTAGTATTATATATGTGAAAGTGTTTATCTTTGTTGTCTATACCTCTTGTGCACCTCTGTCTTCCTTTTCCTTAACATTATTGTATTGGTCACTTGCTTTTGGTTTATTGCTTTTCCCTTCACCCAAATCAGTATTTGTTTCTTACCTATCTAGCAATTTTTCCTCCCCTTCCCTTCTATCCTTGGTAACCAACAAAGAAAGTTTCCTTCCATATATAAAACTTTCCTTGACTTTTTGCAACAGTGGACTACTACAATATTTGTCCTTTTGAAATCGACTTATTTCACTCAGCTTACGTGTCCTCCAAGTTCATCCATGTTATGCAATGTTTCGCAGATTCTACATTATTCTTTAGTGTTGCATAGTATACCATTGTGTGCATGTATCATAGTTTTCTTATACATTCCTCTGTTGATGGGCACATAGGTTGTTTTCATCTCTTTGCTGTTGTGAATAGTGCTGAGATGAACATGGGTGTGCATATATCTATCTGTTCTTGTCCTGGCTCTCAGTTCTTTAGGATATATACCTAGTAATGAGATTGCTAGATCAAGTGGTACTTCTATTTTCAACTTTTTAATGAATCACCGTATTATTTTCCATGTGGTTGTATCATTTTACAGTATTACCTGGCAGTGTATGAGGGTCCTAATCTCCCCACAGCCTTGCCAGCATTTGTTATTTTCTATCTTGTTGAACTTTGTTTAGTGCTGGAGTGAGATGGTTATCTCGTTGTTTTGATTTGCATCTCTGTAAAGACTAAGGATCGTGAACATTTCTTCATGTGTTTGTTGGCTGCGTGAATATCTTCTTTGGTGAAGTGTTTATTCATGTCTTCTGTCCATTTTTTTAATTGAATAGTTTGTCTTTTTGATGTTTAAGTATTGGAGTTTTCTATGAATTTTAGAGATAAGTCCCTTGTCAGATATGTTGTTGCCGAATGTTGTTTTCCAATCTATAGGTTCTCTTTTTACTGTTTTGGAGAAGTCTTTTGATGCACCTAAGAATTTAACTTTTGGAAGGTCCCAATCATCTAGTTTATCTTCTGCTGTTTGTACATTTTGGGTTATGCTCAACAGTCTACTTATACCATAAATTAGGGCCCCTAAGTTTGCCCCTATTTTTTCTTTGATGAACTTTATAGTTTCAGGTTTCACATTTAAGTCTTTGATCCATCTGGGGTTAGTTTTTGTGTGTGGTGTGAGATATGGATCTTGTATCATTTTTCTGCAAATGGATATCCAGTTTTGCCAATACCGTTTGTTAAAGAAACTGCCTCTTCCCCATTTAATGGATTTTGGCAGCATTGGGAGATTTTAAACATGGAGATTACATGGCTAGAATTGTGTTTTTATGAAAATTAATTTGTTATCAGTTTATAGTATAACTCTGAGGGATTAGATGCTGTGAAGATGCTTTTGTAATAATTAGCTTACAGTGGTGAGGGCCTAAATTTGAATAGTGATAATGGGAAAAGAAATGGGAGAGCAGATTCTAGGCAATGGGGAGAGAAGTGACGAGAGTAATAGTTGTTACAACTGACTGCAGAAACATGGGTAATCTGGATGCGCTGAAAATAAAAGTAGTTAGTCAAGTGTTAAAGATTTCTACATGCTATCATGTTTAATTAGCAACTGAAAATTCAACTTTCTTTTCATATAGGCTGCAGAAACAGGAAGTGGAAAAACTGGTGTAAGTAATAAACTTAAATTGACTTTTTTTTTTTTTTAATTGTGCTTTGGGTGCATATTTGTTTTACATTCAATAGCTCATGCACATTTGATTTCATAGGCCTGATTACAACCCCTAACCATGAAAAACTCTCCTCCCTATGACTACCCACTTCTTGCCCTTATCTGTACATTCTTGTCTGTCCATCTTTCCCTCTATGTGAATGCTACCCTTCTGATGTCTCATGGTTGATTGATCAAAGGGGGTGCATCTCTCTGGGGTAGGTGCTCTGCATGTAGGTCTTTCTACTATTGAGCTGAGAGCCAGTCCATGGAAGTGAGTCCTTTTCTAGGTCTAAAGGATAACCCAGGGCCATAGTCTTAGAGGTTCCAGCAATCTCCGTCTGCCCAGTAATTCTGGTCATTTTTGTGCTTTTGAAGTTTGTTCCACATTTTAAAATTGACTTACTTTGTAATTGTCTTTTGAAGCAGCTTTGAATAGTGAGGAGTCCCAGTGGTGTGGTGATTAAAGTGCTCAACTGCTAACTGAAAGGTTAGCCATTTGAACCTACCAGCTGCCCTGGAGGAGAAAGTTGGTTCTATAAATATTTCAGCCTTGAAAACCCTATTGGGCAGTTCTACTCTGTCCTGTAGTGTCACTGAGTTGAAATCAACTCAACGGCAGACGGCTTGATTTTTTTCAAATGGTAGTTTGAAACAACTACCTCCAAACTGTAAGGAATTGATTGCCTACCATTGGGGGAGATTTTTTGTTGTTGTTCTGATTTTGAAGTAAGATCAGTGAGCAGTATGGCTTTAAGAATACAACTTTAAACTGGTCTTGGAGAAAGAGGTATAGGTATAGAATCTTTAGTATTTATATTCACTTCTGGAATATTAATACAATGGCTATGGTAATAAAGGTGTTTCTAATGGAAGATGATCTCCTGTCAGACTGGATATTTTTTCTCTGTAGGTTCATTCTAGAGGTGTCCTTGGCTTATTGTTTTGGGCTGTCATCTGGCTCCTATTTCCTTTATTTTATCAACTCTGTTATCTAACTGGTATTTTGTGTTTGGGTAAATCAAATTAGAGCAGCAGTGTAGAGTATGTGTAATTAATGTCAGGTGTAACTTTTTTGTCATCTATATAGATTATTGATGACAAAAAAGTTACACCTGACATTAAGTAATTACACATATTCTATATAGATTATTAGGAGCTCTGGTAGCATAGTGCCTAAGGCACTTGACTGGTAACCAGAGGGCTGGTGGTTCAAACCCACCAGCCACTCCTAGGAAGGCAGATGGGGCAATCTACTTCCGTAGTGATACTGCCTCGGAAACCCAAGGAGGGGTCGCTATGAGTCGGGTCTGACTCGAAGGCACATAACAACAACAACATATAGATTATTAAATTCATTATATTAAATATCTGCATATTAATATAGAAAATGTTTTTTTCAATAGGCTTTCAGTATTCCAGTTATTCAGATAGTTTATGAAACTCTGAAAGATCAGCAGGAAGGCAAGAAAGGAAAAACAACAATTAAAACTGGTGCTTCAGGTAATTTTTTGGATTAATATTTTCTTTTTGTGTAGGTCAATGATTGTTATTCCCTGGCCTTTAGAAATGTGAGGTGTTTGTCTGTTTTTGTTGCCAGTATCTAGGGATGCTTTTGGTATAGCCCTGGAAACCAGGGATTCTAAATGTGATATAGAGCATTAAAAATGAATGTTGTTCCTCCTAAAATGCTAGTAGTGTTAACTTTTGAAAAACACTGATGTGAAATGTTGAATTCTGACATTTAAAAAATTGTATTTAGTTATTTTTAATGTTTTCTTAACAACTTCTGCCTAATATCAAAGATTAATCAATATAACTTTTGCAGAGGTTTTAAGGATTTTACACATAATTGATGGAGTAAAAAACCAATGGGTGGGAAACATTGCCTTATATAGGGAAGAGAGATGACTTTTTCCTGTCTTTAAGAGAAGGAACTCAGGAAGTTAAAATGTAAAATGTAATTTAAACTCAGTTTCTTATTTTCATTCCTATTTATGTGGAGACTGTCCTTTTATTAGGGTTTCTGGTCCTGTATGTACTATGAATAATCTTACTTCAGTTTCCTCATCTGTAAATTGTGTTGTTTCTGTTAAATGGCTTCTAAATTCCATTCTGTCTCAATCTGTGGTTTTGTTATATTGTAACACAATTTGTTCCACATTCTAAGTCACTCTTACTTCATGATACAAAACAGGATTGTGACAAAATAGCAAGTTTTAAGTGGAGTGAACTGGCGCATCAACATTTTGTTTGACAGTAATAATGTTACATAGTGCATAGAATGAACTCATTTGTAAAATGATTGTGAGATTACATAATAGAATATGAATTATTTAGAGTATCAGACTGTTCTAAAAGTTTCATAACTTGTGACTGTCTGCTATTGTTTATGAGAAAAGCTGATGAAAGAGAATGCATCCCAAAGAAGGTAAAGAGAGTGTGGTAAGGTTCTAAAAATCTATGAGGAATAAACAAACTAGATTTTTACATGGGCTAAAAAAAAGGAGTTAGGATAACTTTTAAATCACTGAAGGGTTCTGGTGAGAAGATAGTAGTTCTAGAAAGCAGAACCAGGACTAATTAGAAATAATCTAGATGATAATTTTATTTGAACTTGATACAGTCTAATAGCTAGATGGAGCCAATAATGGAAAGGAGAACCTCAAAACAAAGTTACTTCACATCATTCAAAGTGTTTAAGCAGATGATTAATATCTTTTGACCAGAAATAAGCTAGCAAGGATTTTGCTTTAAGTGGCAACTTGGGTATAAAATATATAGGGTGTTCTTTAGGTAGAAGTTCCTGGGCATAATAAAAGATAAATGTTTGATCACTAACTAAAATGTTGGTGACTTGAACCTACCCAGAGGCACTTGGGAAGAAAGACCTGGTGATTTGCTTCTGAAAGGCACAGCCTTGAAACCCCCATTGTTGTTGTTGTTGTTATGTGCCGTCGAGTCAGACCCGACTCATAGCGACCCCTCCTTGGGTTTCCGAGGCAGTATCACTACAGAAGTAGATTCCCCATCTTCCTTCCAAGGAAACCCCCATAGAGCAGTTCTATTCTGCAACACATGGGGCTATCCTGAGTCATAGTTGACTCAGTAGCAGCTGGTGATCTCTTTAGGCATTACAGTTCTTTGATTAGCCATAGACTGTTCCGATGTTCCAGAAAAGGAAAATGCAGTTCCTGTATTAAATGAGGAGGAAGAAAATATTGTGAATTTTGAATTAAGATAAAGGACTTGCTTTTCTTTTAATAATAATAACATGATAAATAATTAGATCCTGAAATATTGAAGGTCAGTTATTTCCAATAAGATGGAACTCAATTTGTTTAGCTACCTAAACTTCTTTTTATTAATGTCCTAGTGGTTATGACAAAAATCAGTGTTATCTAATACAAAGTGCACTGAAGCAAGTGAGGAGATAAGATTATCATGTTTCACATATTGTTAACAGTTTTCACTTTTAGTTTTGTGTTTAATAAAACCAGCAAAAACTGTATATTCAAAAATGTGTAAAACCACATTGAATCTAGAGGAATTAGGTATCATATAAAATATATTTACTTTTTATAGTTTTTAATTTTGCATGTATGTAGGTAATTTTTCTTATTTTAATTTGTTTAGTTCTCAACAAATGGCAAATGAACCCATATGATAGAGGATCTGCTTTTGGTAAGTAGATTTTTACCAGATGATTTTGTAATTCAGGAAATTTGTCTTTACTAATGCTTGAGAATACCAAGAAAATTAGGACAGACGTATAGTAAAGGGATATTTAATTTACTGGATGTTAGAATATACTTACTACAATCAAACACTGTAGTACTGACATAGGAATAGACAACAAGTCACAGAAATATAATGGAAATAAATTCGAGTGTATATGAGAAGTTAATACAAAGGAAAAAAAGTATTTCATATTGGTAGGAGAAGGATAATATATAAGTTTTAACACATAGAAAACCACGTAACAATTTATGAAGGAATTTTTCTAAGAAACAGGAAACTCAGAAATTGTAAAAGAAAACACATATATTTGTATAAAAAATTTTTGGAAGAGATATTAAAAAAATACAGTAGAAAATTGATAGAGAAGAATTTTGTAATGCTGATGAAAGATAATCCTTATGAACTAGTAGAGATTCTTATGTAAATAACTAATAAAGTTGTTGCTTTGTACCCCTTGGTTTGCAAAAGTTCAAAAGAGAGAACACATTTTTATTATGGAAATATAAGTTATTGTTCCCTTTCTGGAAAGCAGTTTAGCATTACCTATTAAAATTCATAATATACACTCCTAGAGGGTCTAGCTTATTGAAATAAAAGCACCAGTATGCAAGGATATACATAAAGGATGTTGCAGCGTTATTTGTAGTGATAACTGCCAGTAAAATGAATGCTGTTGCTAGGAGAATGTTAAACGAATGTTAGGGTGTTTTCAAAGACTATTGTGACACCATTAGAAAGAATGAATCAGAGCTATAGAGTTGACTTGGAGGAATTTTCACCAGGTATTGATGATCAAAATAATGCAGGCTCTAGAGAAATGTAGAGTTGATCCTGAGCAACCATGATAAAGAAAGGCTAGTACCCTCTACCATAAGATACACAATTTGTGTGTGTGTGTGTATAAAGAAAATAAGAAATTTTAAATATAACAGTTTTAAGGATTTGCCATTGGTAAAGAACTTAAAAAGTTATAATAAGTTTTAAGTTATATAATACAATGTCCATATGAGCAAGAATTTATACTTCAAATAATTTTGATCTCTGGTAAGTAAAATAAAACATATGATGTGATTTTTATACATTAAGAAGTGATTTCTAAAGTTTATTTTACATTCAGGTGCTGAATATGACTTGCAAACATGAAGCAAGGGAGAGATAATAATTTCTTTTCAATACAAACAAAGCTAAATCCTTGCTAATATGCACGTACTTTATGGATTTTACTGTGACTGATGGTGACATATAATATAAACCCCACCTTTAGAGTCCTAATATTAGCAAATAACAAATATATATATATATATATATATATTTATGCACACTTCTCCCTACTTTCCTGTAAGATTTCTGGATCCATGGTTTGGAGAACAGACCAGAGACAGTTACTTTTATTCAGTCAAGCTCTAAGCATAAGATAAAAACAATAAATATTACTGCATCATCCTTCTTTAAAGGATGTTAAAGAATAATTGTCTAAGCACATTTGTGTTGGTGGACTAATGTAACTCAGGTTAAGGGTTGTGCTGATGTTTTCAGATTTGTTGCTGTAAAATCTTGTCCTAGTTCGCAGATAACATTATAGAAACTAGCCTTCAACAAGGCCAAACAAGGACAGCCAAGGGATGAATGAGAATAATTACTCATGGGGAGGATACTGCTATCAATCAGGAATCAGCAAGTCTCAGCATCTGGAATGTTGTAGCAAGTGGAGGAATTACCCATATTAGTGAGATTGAATGATACTTATTTCAGAATGCGTGATTTACAATCTGTACTGACATTTTTCTGTGTTTTTTTTCTCATGTCTAGCAATTGGGTCTGATGGTCTTTGTTGTCAGAGCAGAGAAGTGAAGGAATGGCATGGGTGTAGAGCTACTAAAGGATTAATGAAAGGTATTTGAACAGCATTTGTACTTGTACAAATTTTTGAGGCAGTGTATTTACTTGAATTTTCTTTAAATAGCTTTAACTTGAGGATTTGAAAAAATGTTTAATGGTACAAAAAGACCTAAAATTCTTCATTTGGTATGTAGAAAATTGTAGTTCAGAAATAATGGAAAAGTGGTTACATAATAAATGAGTCAGGTGTGTGAGATAATTTATGTAAATTTCCAAGTGTTTTGCCCTTGTAGGGAAACACTACTATGAAGTATCTTGTCATGACCAAGGATTATGCAGAGTTGGGTGGTCTACCATGCAGGCTTCCTTAGACCTAGGTAAGTATCTCTAAATAACTGACTGTATTGATTTACGTTTGTGGATTTTGTTAACATTTTTGTTATTTTCAAAAGCAGTGCAAACTTACCCATGCAAAGTTTATATTTGAGGGACAGGAGAATAATGTTACTTATATATATCCTACTCTATTCTAAAACAAGATTTGAAACAACTTAAAAAAATATAGTAATATAAAGTCAGGTGGAATAAAGTTAAGACTGAATGAAGTCAGCAAAAAGTTTGTATGTATGAAAATGTGCCAAAGGGTACTGCATAGATGCTTGCAGTTATTTTGAATTCAGTAACTGAATTTCTTATTGGCCAAAGTGAAGATGGATGCAGTGTCACTTGGGTCCATAGTGTCACATAGTCTTCTTAAGCTATAAACAGGTATTTGCAAGATTTGGGAAATTTTTCCTGTGTTTTTTCAAAATGGAGGTATTATAATGCAAATAAAATGACTTCTTTTAGAGGGCTTTTGACTTTATATTTACCCTCACTACACTTTAAATCCAGGTACTGACAAGTTTGGATTTGGCTTTGGTGGAACAGGAAAGAAATCCCATAATAAACAGTTCGATAATTATGGAGAGGTAAGTTATTATATTATTGCCTTCAACGTAGCTTCAGTAAGCTTTCTTGCATATTTACTTGATCACATGATCTGACTTGAGGATATAGAAATGATTCACAAAGACAAGTAGATTTTCTGTTTATTTTCCACAGCGTGTTCAGATTTGGACTTCACTAAAGAAATGTTATAAAATAAGATAAATATGTAGTATTTAGAGTTTTTCTTTTATACCAGTTTTTCTTTCATACCAGTTTTTCTTTTATACACCCTCTGATGTTACTTTGTCTTCTCTTCACCTCATATTGATTTTGGCTTTAATACATATAAGAGCTTTGGTGGTGTAGTGGTTAAGGTATTTGGCTGCTAACCAAAAGGTTGGTGTTTTATCTTCCACTGAGTGGAAGATAGATGAGACAGTCAGTCTGCTTCCATAAAGATTTATAGCCTTGGAAGCTCAGTGGGGGTTGCTGTGAGTCAGAATCAACTTGATGACAGTGAGGTTGGTTTGGTATTTGGTTTAATACATATATTCTCACTTCTTTTTTTTAATTGTGCTAAGATATAAAAAATTTGCCATTTAAACCATTTTCATACTCAAAATTTTGTGTAAACATCACTGCTATTTGTTTCTGAAATGTTTTCATGATTCTAAACCCATTAAGTAGTAACTCCCATTGCCCCATCCTCCAGCTGATGGTAACTACTAATCTACTGTCTGTGTCTATGCATTTGTTTATACTAGATATTTTATACAAATGAGATCATATACTGTTTGTCCTTTTGTGTCTAGCTTATTTCACTTGGAATCATATTTCCAAGGTTCATGTTATAGCATGTATTACAACTTCATTTCTTTTTTTAGGGTAGAATAATATTCCATTGTATGGATATACATTTTGTTTAGCCATTCATCTGTTGGTGTACACTTGGGTTTTTTCCAGCTTTTGACTATCATGAATAATGTAGCAGTGAGCATTAGTGGACAGATATCTCTTTGAGTCCCTTCTTTCAATTCATTTGGGTATATCCTAGGAAAGGAATTGCTTGATCATATGGTAATTCTATGTTTAACTTTTTGAGGAGCTGCTGAATTGTTTTCCACAGTGGCTGCATCGTTTTACATTTCTACCTTCAGTGAGTGAAGGTTCCAATTTCTCCATATCCTTGGCAACACATTATTTTCTATTGTTGATATTGTTTTAATCATAACCATCCTATTGGGTATGGAGTGGTATCTCGTTTTGATTTACATTTCACTAATGGTTAATGATGTCAAGCATCTTTTCATGTTCTTCTTGTTCATTTATATATCTTATTTGGAGAAATGTCTACTGAAGTATTTTGCCTGTTTTTTGAGTAGGTCGTTTTTTTTGTTGTTGTTGTTGAATTGTAGAGTTTCATTGTATATTCTGGATAGTAAATGTTTATAAACTATATGATTTCCAAATATTTTCTTTTATTCTGGTATCTTTTAACTTTGTCAATAACGTCCTTTGATGTACAAGTTTTTTTGTTTTGATGAAGTTCAATTTTTCTTTTGTTGTTCAGGCTTTGGTGTCATCTCTAAGAATGCATTATGAAATATAAGTTTTACCCCTATGTTTTCTTCTAATTGGAGTCCCTGGTGGATAATACAGTTAACGGAGGGGTTGGAGGTTTGAGTCCACCCAGAAGCAACTTGGAAGAAAGGCCTGGCAATCTGCTTTTAAAAAAATCAACCATTGAAAACCCTGTGGGACACACTTCTAACATACATGGGTTGCCATAAGTTGGCGTCAACTCTGTGGCACCTGGTTTGGTTTTTCTTCTAAGAATTTCTTTTATTTAGGTGTTTGATTCATTTTCAGTTAATTTTTACATATGATGTGAGGTAGAGGTCCAATGTCATTATTTTGCATATGGAAATCCTGTTGTCCAAACTCTCAATTTATTTATTCGAAATATATAGTAATGTCTGATGAACCAAAATACCCCCTTTATTCTAAAAAGCCTGTGAGATGCTTCTATTATTATATATGTATGAAAAGAAAAAAAAAAACTCACTGCCGTGGAGTCAGATCCGACTCATAGCGACCCTTCCTTGGGTTTCTGAGGCAGTATGTCACTACGGAAGTAGATTGCCCAACCTTCCTTCTGAGTTGTGGCTTGTGGGTTTGAACTGAAAGCCTTCTGGTTAGCAGTCACATGCCTTAGGCACTATGCCACCAGAGCTCCCATTATTATATATGTTATATTGTTGTTATGTGCCGTTGAGTTGGACCAGACTCATAGTGACCCCTCCTTGGGTTTCCAAGTCAGTATCACTATGGAATTAGATTGCCTCATCTTCCTTCCGAGGAGTGGTTGGTGGGTTTGAACCGCCAGCCTTCTGGTTAGCAGTCAAGTGCCTTAGACACTACGCTACCAGAGCTCCCATTATTATATATAATATGTTCTAAATAAGCATTTTTTAAACCTACACGAAAGCTGCAAGAAATTATTTTGAAACTAAAGATTGCCATTGATTGGCTTCAGACTCATAGTGACCCTGTGGACAGCAGAATGAAACAGTGTCTGGTGAGCCATCCTCACAATTGTTGCTATGCTTGAGTCCATTGTTGTAGCCACCCTGCCGGTCCTTCTTGTTGAGGGTCTTGCCCCTTTTTTTCTGACTCACTTAAGCATGATATTCTTTTCCAGGTACTGGTCCCTTCTGATAACATGACCAAAGTATGAGAGACAAAGTCTGGCCATCCTTTCTTCTCAGGAGTGTTCAGGCTATGCCTCTTCTAAAACGGATTTATTCGTTCTTCTGGCAGTCCATGATACCTTTAATATTCTTCACCAACATCACAATTGAAATGCATCAATTCTTCTTTGGTCTTTCTTATTCATTGTCCAGCTTTCCCATACATAATGAGGTGATTGAAAATACCGTGGCTTGGGTCACTTGCACCTTAGTCTTCCAAGTGACATCTTTGCTCATTTGAAGAGCTCTTTTGCAGCAGATTTTCCCAGCACACTACAACAACATCTTATTTCTTGGCTGCTGCTTCTTCCACAGGGGTTGATTGTGGATCCAAGTAAAATAACCTAATTAATGAGAACCCTAATGGCTTCTCATCTCATTCAAAATAAAAGCCAAAGTTTTTATCATGGACTAGAAGGCCCTGCAGGAGCTCTGGTAGTGTAGTGCCTAAGGCATTTGACTGCTAACCAGAAGCCTGGTGGTTTAAACCCACCAGCCACACTCCTCAGAAGGAAGTTGGGCAATCTACTTCCGTGATACTGCCTTGGAAATTTTAGGAAATAAAATGACCTAATTAACAACTTTAATCTTTTCTTGTTTTATTGTGATATTGCTTATTGGTCCAGTTGTGAGAATTTTTGTTTTCTTTATGTTGAGGTGTAATCTATACTGAAGGCTGTTGTCTTTGATCTTCATTAGTAAGTGCTTCAATTCCTCTTCATTTTCAGCAAGCAAGATTATGTCATCTGCAAACCCTACAAGATAGTTAAACTCTGTCATACAGTGTTGTTATGAGCCAGAGTCTACTTAGTGGTACACAATAGCAACATTTTGATGTAGCATATTTGAACTTTTAACTTTACTTAAGATTTTGCTTTCTATTAACAGCATTTGCCTTTCTGGTTTCCTAGGAATTCACTATGCATGATACTATTGGATGTTACCTCGATATAGATAAAGGGCATATCAAGTTCTCCAAAAATGGTAAGCTTCCCATGGGTTTTCTTTGTAGAGAAAAGATATATGATATTCTCTCTCTCTTTTATCCCTTTACTCGCTTCCTCTGTCCTCTCTCCTTCTTTCCCTGACTTTCTTTTGAACAGATATTATTGAGCAGATACTCATATAGAGGCTGGAGAAAACATAGTAGATAAAACATCTTTACTTCTATGGGGCTTATGTACTGATAGGAAAAGACAGACAGTAATATGTCATGTGGTATTAAGTGCTGTGGAGGAGAGTATAAAGCAGGTTAAGGGAGTGGAGTGATAGCAATCTAGGAGTGTTCTTTTTTTAATAGTGGATGTCAGAGATGTCTTTGCTGGGAAGGTAGCATTTGAGTAGAAATCTGAATAAGTTGGATGGTAGGCCATGCAGCTGTCTTGGAAGAGCATTTCAGTCAGAAAGAATAGTAAATGCAAAGACCCTAAAATGCAAGCATGCTTGGGGCATGTGAATAACAATTGAGCACATTGAGCATGAAGAAGGGTGGTAGAATATTAGGCTTGTGAAGGTAGTAAGGGTAGATCATGCAGGGCCTTATTTTGTTGTTGTTATGTGCCGTCGAGTTGGACCTGACTCATAGCGACCCCTCCTTGGGTTGCCGAGGCAGTATCATGGAAGTACATTGCCCAACCTTCCTTCTGAGGAGTGTGGCTGGTGGGTTTAAATCACCAGGCTTCTGGTTAGCAGTCAAATGCCTTAGGCACTATGTTACCAGAGCTCCTGCAGGGCCTTCTAGGCCATGATAAAAACTTTGGCTTTTATTTTGAGTGAAATGAGAAGCCATTAGGGTTTTGAGCGAAGGAGTGGTGTCATATGATTTTACCTTCAAGAGGGTTTTTGGCTGCTCTGTTGAAAAGAGACTGGGAGGTGGGGTAGGGTGGCAGGTAGGAAGCTAGTTTGAAGGTAAGAGTTTGATTTTGGACATAGTTTAAGTTATTCATCAGACATCTAATGGTGAAAGTAGTACCTAAGTGTAACTAAGTAAGTAAAAGTAAGAAATGAAATGTGCAATTCAGGAGTTCAGGGGAGAGATCAGAACTGGAGAAAAGAGCTTTGGGAGCCAGGTGGTATATAAAACCTCAGGACTAGATGTGATCACCTAAAGAATGAAAGTAGATAACAGAAGAGATATGAGGCCTGGGGTGTTTCTATGATTAGAAATTAGCAAATTGAGGAAGAAATTCATTGTGGTAGGGGAAGAATAAAGAGAAAAAGAGGTCCTACAATCCAGTTGAAGAAACTATTTCAAGGAGGAGGGAGTGGACAAATTGTGTTCAATGCCACTGACGGGTCTAGTCTACACAGATGAAAACTAAGAATTAACCATTGAATTTGGCAAGCTCATCGATAAGCTTGACAAAGAACTTTTTGATGAAGCAAAGAGTGGGCATAGGGGCCTGATTAGGAATTATTTCAAGAAAAAATGGGATGAGACGAAGTGGGCATAGTGACAATGGAAAATGCAGGGCATTTTACTACAGAAGGGAGAAGAAAAATGGAAGGTAAATAAAGGGTGGGCTGGGTTCAAAGGGAAGTTTGTCTGTTTTAATGGAGCTGTTGTAGTATGTTTGTATGCTAATAGAAATGATCCAGTTGTTTTTAAGTGCCATCAAGTTGATTTTTGACTCATAGCAACCCTAGGTGACAAACTAGAGCTGCCCCGTAGAATTTTCTAGACTTTTTTTTTTTT